ATATCATTAAATCAGGACGCGCCCAGCTGATGTGCACAAAATAGCATTCAAGACACATGAGGAATATTACAAGTTTTGGGTAATGTCGTTTGGCCTCACCAACGCTCCAGCCACATTTCGTCCTCTGATAAATCAAGTTTTTCAACCGTATCTCAATATATTCAACCCGGTCTGCTTCGATGACATTCTGGTCTATAACCGTATAAAGGTAGAGCATGTAGGGCACCAGAAGACAATCTCGGAGAAGTTAGGGAGCACGAGTTGTACGCCAACTTGAAGAAATGTTCCTTTGAATATTTAAAAGTGGAGTACCTAAAGCACGTGGTGACCATGGCAGGAATAGCAGTGGATCAGTCCAAAATTGAGGCTACGGTGAACTAGTCTTTACCAAGGAATTTGAAGAAGTTGAGGTGATTCCTGTCTCACTGGATACTAGCAAAAATTCGGGAGGGGATACAACATGATAGCCTGGTTACTGGCAAAATTGTTGAAGAAAGACAATTTCAAGTGGGGAAGCACCAATACAAGCATTTGAACATTTGAAGAAAGCTATGACCAGCATTCCGATATTAGCACTTCCATATTTTAGTAAACACTTTGTAGTAGAAACAAATGTGTTAGGGTACAGATTGGAAGTACTCATGCAGGACCAGTAGTTAATTTCTTACTTCAGTTAGGTGCTCAAAGCTAGAACGAGGCTCAGGTTAGTATGTGAGCGGGATTTAATGGTTGTTTTCTTGGCCATTCAGAAGTGGTAGCCCTACCTGTTCGAACAACAATTTTTGGGTAGGACAGATTAGAGGAGCCTAAAGTATCTTCTCAAGCAAAGGATGGCGACTAAGGAGCCTCAAAGGTGGTTATCAAAGTTACTTGGATTTGATTTCGAGATTCAGTATCAGTAGGGATTGGAGAATAAAGCCATAGATGCACTGTCAAGAATGCTGGAGGAGTGCCAGCTGACAAACTTATTGATACCTTCTTCTAGTTTGGGAGGGCTTGAAACGAGAAAGAAAGCAGGACGAAGGGCTGAGAAAAACACAAGTTAATTGCTACAAGATCCAAGCAGCCATCCACAATAAGTATTAAGGAGGTTGCAGCTACTCTATCAGTGGCGGTTTGTGTTGTCGAGGCCATTGGAGTACATCACCAAACTATTACATGAGTTTCACAGCAATGCAATTGGGGGACACTCAGGAGAACAGAAAACATACAGTCGACTATCAACAGAGCTTTACTGGGTGTATATGCACAGAGACAGAGGACATGGCGGAAAGGTGCGATTTGTGCAAATGACATAAGTACTTGATCATGGCTTCAAGAGGGTTACTACGGCCCTTAGCTTTATCGTAGAAGATTTTGAAAGAAGAGATGATTGATTTTATAAAGGCATTGCCAAAATCAAAAGGGTTTACGGTGATTTTGCTGATGGAGTATCATTTGAGCAAGTATGCACTGAGGGGACAAGGTGCGTGCTTGTCAATGACATAACTACTTGACCACAGCGCCATGAGGATTACTATAGCCCTGAACTTTTCCAGACAGGGTTTTGGAAGAAGTTACGATTTATTTTATAGAAGCACTGCCATGATCATAAGGGTTTACGATGATCATGGTGATGGTGGATCACTTGAGAAAGTTGCTACACGATCCGAGCAGTCATCCATAATATGCATTAAGGGGCTGCAGCTACTCTACCATGGGTGATTTGTGTTGTCGAGGGCATCGTAGTACATCCCCAAACAATTACATGAGTTGCACGACAGGGCAATTGGAGGACACTCGAGAGTACAGAAAACACAGTCGTCTATCAGTAGAGCTTTATTGGGTGGGTATGCACAAAGACAGAGGACAAGGTGACAAGGTGCGATGTGCGGCAATGACAGAAGTACTTGACCATGGCTCCAGGAGGGTTACTACAACCCTTAGCTTTACCAGATTAGGTTTTGGAAGAAGTGATGATTGATTTTATAAAGGCATTGCCACGCTCATAGGGTTAACGATGATCTTGGTGGTGGTGGATCACCTGAGCAAGTATGCACATTCCATTCCATTATGACACCCCTACACTGCGGTCTCAGTCTTTACGATGTCCATACGAGAAGTGGTTTGTTTGCACAGAGTGCCAAAATCTATTGTATCAGATAGGGACAAGGTGATCCTCGGCCAAATCTGGAAGGAGTTTTTCATGTACAACGAACAATCTTTAAGAGGAGAATAGAATATCATCTTAGATTGATGGCCAGACAGATGACCAACAGGAGCACAGAGACATACCTGCATTGTTTTGTGTCAGATACACTGGAGCTTAGAGCCAAGTGAATCGCATAGGCCAAATATTGATATTATAATTCCTACCATGCTACAACGCAGACCACCCCTTTCATGATTTTGTATGGGCAGGATCCACCACACATGAAACATTACTGGCATAGCACTACATCAGTATCCAGTCGACCAGTACTTGGAGGAGAGGGACAAAATATTGGCAAAGCTCAAGGGACATCTAATGAGAGCTCAACAAATCATGAAAAGGAAGGCTAATGGACATAGGAGGGAGAAACAATTCGAACCTAAGGATATGATTTACTTGATGGTGAGGCCCTACAGGCAAAAGAAATTGGCCGATCGGAGGAGTGAAAAACTTTTTCCATGATATTTTGAGCTTTATGAAATTACGACACGCACTGGGACAGTGGTCTATCGTTTGAAGTTACCATCATCATTGACACTAATCCGGTCTTTCGTGTTTTGCAGCTAATGTGTGCTATCGGAGATCATACATTCTCATCTTTAATACCTCTGACACTGACAGAGGACATGAAGGTGATTCTGGAACCCTTAGAAGTTGAAGAAGTGTGCTGAGGAATGGCTGGAGCAAAGGAGTTACTAATTAAGTGGAAAGATCAGCTAAGTTATGAAGAAACGTGTGAATCTTACGAAAGTATCCAAAAGAATTTTACATCCTTTCACCTTGAGGATAAAGTGGCTCCGACTCCTGCAAATGGGAGAGTGGATGAGATCTTCAACCCTGCGGATGAACTGATCCAGGGAAGAGCAATCTGGACCAACCAGACCCAGCAACCCAATCGGCGGTATGGCCAAGTCAACTAGCCTTAACCTAGGGGGTGGAATGCCTAAGAGTGGCTGAGGACAATTCTAGCACCCGGATGGAGCCCACACAACCGTTAATCACATACAAGAGGAGAATCAAGTAGGGTTTTGGGAGGATAGTTTGAAAAGGGACTTGGAGAGTACTTATCAAGGCTAATTGGCTAGGGTTTATTTTATATTTTGTTTGGCTATAGTTTTTCGATTCGGGTGTTGTTCTCAGCGGCGTCTAGGATTTGTGGAGAGACGATCTATCTTTCGAACAATAGACCAACATTGTATCTTGTTTGCTTTCATTAGTATTAGAAAAAGCAGACCTCATCTGAGTTTCCCCACCTCTCTATTACAATTTATTCATTGTTTGTATGCTGTTTCTGGTTTTGAATCGTATCAAAGCCATATATCAACATTGAAATGAATATCTTCAATAAAAAGCAGCTCAAAGTGCATGAAGAGACGTTGAAGGTCAACTATGGTATGATTAGAAGCACAAGAGTCGTGGAGCCATTTTGTTTCAAACTGTATAGATGGGTAAAGGGATAAGTGATACAAGGATTTTGGGGTCGGAAAGGGTGCATATATGTTGGGTTGTTGCAAAGATGCAATAGGGAGAGTAACGTTGGGACTTGAACCGAGTGACTTATTGCCAACCATGTTGATATTTGGCAAAGTAGGGATGAGTGATTTTTTTGGTTCAGTTAATATGGTTGTGTTTTAAGTTGGAAGAGTAACAATTTTTGTGGCGGGATGAATTTTGGAGGATAGATGATCAGTGAATTTTTTAGCATGGTTGAAAAAAGGTAAGCCTACAAGATAAGCTAGTTTTCTTCTTTGATTCAATTTTGATGTGGACCTAAAAATTTATTAGATCATGTAGTTCTTCAAAGGTGATGGGACTCTCACAAAAATGTATGGTCAAGCTAAGGTAAGATTTTGAGAGATAGATCCAACGATGTTAAGAAGAAAAAGGTAGCCGAGCATGGCTAGTTCATCAGCGATAAATTTGACATGTTTCATGTACTCATTGATTGATTTTGTTTACTTGTTAAGAAGACAAATGTCTTCATTTAGTTGAGTGAGATGCCTCGAGATGGTTTGGCATAGGAGTTGGCAAAAAATAATCATGCCTCCTGCGATGTACAGGCCAAAGAAAGAAATGGAATGTAATTTTGAACGATAGCGCCAGAAATGACACTATGGATGAGTTGTCTTAATGGATTCAGAGTATGCAAGATTTTGTGAGATACTATAACTCGTAATTAAGATTTGTGATGGACAAGAGTAGGATCCATTAATAAATCCATGAGATCATATCCAATGAGTGGTATGAAATTGGGATTGCCATAAGTAGCAGTTGGAGGCAATATGTTTGAATTGTTTGTTGGTGGTAACGGCTTTGAGAGCTTGAGATTTGTTGAATGATTAAAGATAATGGTTTATAAAATTGTTAAGCAATCAATGTAGACATTCGTTGAACTAGAAAATCTATTCATTAAGAGATTTATTATAACCCAACATAATGTCATTTTTTGTGATCTGGTGGTGGAAGAAAAGAAGCTCAAGAAGCCAGTGGTTGACTATAACTGGTAAAGGAATCTAGCTATGAAGTGTGGTCAACCATGAGAGAGAAAAGGGACATTATTGGAGTTGAGTTGCTATTACAATATGTTGAAGGTAAAGATTGAGAAAAGTAACAATTTCTAAAACATCTACAGATACGGAAAAATGTTTGAGAAAAGAAAGATGAATTAATCACCCATAACGAATGGCAATTTAGAGTAGGGCCACTTAATGCAGAATATGTAACAGTAATTTACTTATATGACAAACAGAGCGAGGATAACTTTAATTCATTTCTCTAAACATAACTTCAGGGAGAGAAGAATGAGTACATGGAGGAAGACACTGATTGGGTGTCGGCCACAGATGGTGTTGCCAAAATCCTGGAGGTATTCTTTGAAGGCATCAGGATCTCCGGTCTCTATAATTTCCATGCCCATGTGATCAAGCGCCTCAATTGACTTGTGTATGGGACCATGTTTCTTCTCATAGTGCATGTAGTGGAACCTGGATATGCATGCCGAGTAAGAAAAAAATATCATCAACAAAATTGAGCAAAGTATCATTTGGTAGCTTGAACTTCTAAAAAGTACTTTAAAAATTAACGAAATTTGTCAAATTCTATCATTTAGAAGGTTAAACCTAGAAAACAATGTTGATATTAAAAAAGTAGTGACTTTACTCACTTCCACTCAAAATGAGGGAATATTTTCTAAAATATGTACTACATTTATGGCATGCGTCAATTTTAAGTGATTTAATGCACTTTATAGGTTATTCTTACCTATTTGTCACAGTTTATGCTTGAGAAAGGTTTTATGTCGATGTTGTGTTTAGGTTGCAGGAGTTGAATACGAACAATTTGGAACGAGAATATGAAGTGAAAAAGTGTCCCGAGGTGGCGTGACCATGCCATGTATCGAGGCAGTGCGTCGTGGCCACGCTGTATCTGGCGTGACCGCGCCACCTTGGGCAGACCAGCGGCGTGACTGCACCGCCTACTGCAGTCCAGTGACATGGTCACGCCGGGTTTGGGTGTGACCACACTAACGAGCGGGAAAACACTTTGGAAGAAAATTTGATGACCCAAGTCGTAATTCTTGATATAAATGAGGTTTTTTGAGCTTCATGGGGAGAGTTTTGTATCCAGGAGTCATTGGAGGCGGCTAGAGGCAAGGTTTGGATAGAATGTGAGAGTTTTTCCTAAAGGTCTTCTTCCTCCTTTGGTAGAAACCATGTAAGATGAGAAAGTTTTGTATTTTGTGAGTTTTAAAAATCTTGTATAAGAGGAAAGTGTGCTACAAGTGTACAAAAAATAAGTTATTGCAAGATTTACATGTTTTTGTTCCTTGCAATGAATTTCTGCATCTTTTTCCTTGCTACAATTTTCTCAACAATGCGTGGCTAAATTCATTTTTCGTGTCTATGTGATGTAGGGGTAATGGATTTAATCGTGGTTTTTGAAACATTTTTCCGCTAGCATTTTCTTGTGCTTTCATGGTCTATATTATCGATTAACCAATGTATTTAATTTACTCTTAGTCTGGCCAACTAGGATGTTAAAATGTTTCATAAAGCTACGACATCTAACCTTTACATAGTGGAAACGAAGGGTTGCCACAAAATTCCGAAAGGATAGACATATTCTAGTGTAATTCTACAATCATCCCAGAGGATCGGAGCAGCTATGTGGAATGTCATGAGAATTGAGAAAGCCTCAACTACATGGATTCTAGGCTTCTCTTGACCTAGACATAGGCATAAGAAATACTATATTACCGATTGACAATAATTATGTAGGAAAACATTTAGTAAAATCACGATCATCACGACCCTCGAACCACAGAGGCACGAGCCCCCTAAATCTTGAAAGAACTCACAAAAATCTTTATGATCTTTTTTTTTTTTCTGTAGTCTGTTAGCTTCTCGGCTTGCTAGAATCTTAGGATTTAAGAACCCCTTTTGTGAACACATCGAGTTAAGTTGACTAAATTAGTAAACTAGATACTTTTCTGTGGAAGTAAATTGCTAACACTTTCCTCGTGGGGTTCATACGCGAACACTTAGACCGCATACCACTTAACACATGCAGTTGCGTTATATGACCACTTACGTAGTGGTAAGTTTTAGCGCATCAAGTTTTTGGCGACTTGTTTCGGCAAATAGAAGAACTTTAGTTGAAAAACTTAGGATCTAGGTACGACACTTTTATTATTTTTATCCTTATTTTGTTTTTGTGTTTACTTATTTTCCAAAAGAAAAAATATAAGAAAATATTTCAACACTTTGAAATGACAAACCCTCAAGATAATTATTTTAGATCTTATGAGAAGTATAGCAACACATTAATGGCTAATCTTCACAATTTTTACCCCACTCACGAAGGAGTTAGTTTTGATCACCCCTCTTATAATACCTACAGCCCCAACTGGACTATTTACCCAAATTATAATTGGAACATTAAGAACATTAGTATAGAAAGCCAATATTTAAGAAGAGCTCAAGCCAACCTTGTAGAAGATTGGAACAACTGATCCAGGACCACATTTTTCAAAATTAACGTTGGGAAGTCACCTCAAAACCCTAATTCAGGTAGAATAATCTGTCGTTAGAAAAAATGTTAGTAACTTTGAGGAATGAATCAAACACATAAACCCAAAGTTGGTCAACCTACACAAGCTTCGATTGGAACAATAATAACCCTAGAGTGGACAACCAGCAATAAGAGAGCAACCAAGTCAGTCCTGTAGGAAGTTGGAATAACCAGAATAGTGACTACCCCGAAAAAAATGAGTTTGTGGTGGAATTAGTGAGAAACATGGGGAAGGAGTACAAAGCCAAGTTGATGCCCTTAGAAACAAAATCTATTAAGCAATTAACTCTAAGGGTAGTCGAGAGCCATAGCTTTGAATCTGAAGAGTTGGTCTCTGAAGAGCGGGCTGAGATGGATGATTTTTATTAAAAAATATTTGAGGAAGAACTTGTTCTTCCTTTCAAGGCACCCATTGCATTGTGAGAGAGATACTTGAGTCTATAGTATCACCCATAGGAGTACCCCAACGGGAAGAGTTCGAAGATAGCCGTAAGTAGAAGAGTGACCCAACAGAATTAGATCCAGAACCTGAAAAAATCTAGAGAACCCAATACAAAATTTATTAGACCTTGAACTATCTTATAGGAACCCATTTCGTGTAACTTGTGAGCAAAACACTGTTCCGCAAATAGGAGAATTATTTGGGAGAACATTGGATTTAAAATATACACTTTTGAATGGTCATCTGAATAAACCCCCTACATACCCTCTAAAAGACTACTATCAAACAGAAAGAAAAGTTTCAAGAAAAATTAAATTTTGAGGACTTGATAAACAATCCAAACCAACAAAATATTGGGCGATTGATTTGGGATTACCAAATTGAAATTTTTACCTTGGAGGGAGTCTTTTTCGACAAGTTGAGGAAGTTAAACCATAAGTTATCTTGGGAGGCAACTCAAGTACTATCTGATGTGTTGAGTACATTTTTATTTTCTACATTTGTTTTAAAATTTGTTTTAAATTTTTTTTTGAAATTTGCTTTGAAATTTACTTTAAATTTTCTTTTGGATTAGTTTTGAGTTTTATCCGTCTACAGAGTAATTTGGCCCTGATCGTGAGATAGGAATCGAAAACCCCAGATTTTTTGAACTGTTTTCTAATTCATGCATTATTAAATATATTGCATGCTTATTTTTATGAGACACATGTAACTCATGCATTTACCATTTTCTGCCACTTGCTTTTTCATCTAATGTTGTTTCTCGTACACATAAGTTGGAAACAAACAAGTTTAGGAAAGAGAAGAATATACCTTGTTATGAACCTGAACAGAACTCACATGACTTAGTAGAGGATTAAATTTAATTTGGCAACTCCTGTTAGGAAGTCTGATTTATTATCAAATTGTTTATAATAGTCTAGTAAAAGTAGATAAATGTCATTTAAGAAAAGATTAATTTTAATGAGCTAATAATAAAATTCAGAACTTAACAATTTCAGACTTTACTTAAAAGAACTCATAGATTATTAAAAAGATGTAATTTAAGTGTTAAGTAGCAAACAAAGAATGTTTCAATTATTTTCAGTTTATTTTGATCAAATTAGTATTGTCTTAAGTTTTAACTGAAAAGATAACATAAAATAGATGACCTTAAAATATTAAATGTTTAGTTTTACTGCTTAAGAAACACTACCATTCACCTTAATTAAAATTAAAACGAAAAAATTGTCAACCCGATATACTAATTCTTAGGAGAAAAGAAAAAGAAAAAAATAAAATAAAAGAAAATAAAAAGTGAAAAACTCCTGAGGAGAAGCTTGAGGTTGGCACAACATAATTCAAAAAAAAAATAATCAAAAGGGAGTCTAGTGGGAATTAAGAGATAAAACTTGTCAATGATTCTTTAATAATTTTTGGAAAAATTTAAGTAATGTTGATTTGGCTAAAATCCACTGAAATTGCATTAAAAACATTTGAAGTGAAAGAGGCTTAAATTACATTAATTTAATAATCTACAGGATTTTCATAAGGGTAAGAATGAAGGGAATTAAGAAACAGTCAAGTTATTAACCATTAAAGATAATTGATCTACAGTGATATTTAAACACCTTTAGTTAGCTTTGATAAGCATATGGAAGAGTTAGAACCCTACAGAATCACCTATCATTTTAATTAAACATCAATTGAGTTATGTGATTACTTGAGGACAAATAAAAGGGTAAGTTGGGTGTATTAAAATAAGTCAATTTTACGTGATTTTTACTGCATTTATCCTTATATTATATATGTTATTCATACTTATTTATCACAAACATACGCTTAAGAAAAATATTTTGTTAATGTTGTGCAGATTGCAGGGGTTGAATATGAACATTTTGGAATGAGAAAATCGAGTGAAAAAGTGCCCTAAAGTGGCGTGACCACGCCCCGTATCGAAGCAGTGCAGCGTGACCACGCCAGGTATCGAAGCAATACGGCATGACCATGCCGCATCTGGCATGACCACAACACCTTAAGCAGACCAGTGGCGTGAACACGCCGCCGTCGGTCGTGACCACGTCGCCCCCTGCAGTCCAGTGGTAACCACGTCAAGTTTTGGCGCGACCATGTCGACGAGCGGGAAAACACTTTAGAAAGAAAATTTAATGGCCCAAGCCGTGATTCTTGATATAAAAAAAGTTTTTAGGGCTCCATGGGGAGAATTTTGCATCCATGACTCATTGCAGGCGGCTAGAGGCAAGGCTTGGAAAGCATTTGAGAGTTTTCCTCAAGGTTTTCTTCCTCCTCTGGTAGAAACTTGTAGGGAGAGAGTTTCTTGTATTTTGTGAGTTTTAATATACTTATATGAAAGGAAAGAGT